GTAAAAGATGACAGTTTTAACACATTATCGTGACTGGCAACTTTTTGTGCACTGATGTTGGCTAGCATGCCGAAAATGTGCTTATTGGATTCTTGGAAATTTGTAATGGATGCTGGCTCTAGGAGAGGCAGAACAGAGCACAGATTCTACCATGGGTCATGCCTGTGTTTAAATTTTGCCTCTGTCACTAGCCTTGTGACCTTGAGCACATTTGAAAATTCTATTAGATGTGTGAAAAGGTTTCCTCATCTGGAAAGTAGGAATAATAATACCTAAGTCATAGGGTTGTTGTGAGTAATAAATAAGTAAACGTTTGCTAAGTTTCTAGAAGTTCCTTGGCACAAAGTTGTATATAATAAATGACTTTAAAAACAAGTTTTGTTTTTTTTGTTACTTACCGTCTGATGATTTCACCACACCACTGTGCTGGCAGGGAGTGTGTATGCATTTTCCATTAACCATCAGAAAATAAACATAGGCATGTATGATTCCTAAACGTAGGGAAGAAATCCAGAGGATCTAGGATTTCTGTCCATCCTGTTAATTGAAAAGAATATTTTGGCACCAGTTTGGGGATTCATAAAGAAGATAAGATGTTCAAGCCATAACAGAAAGGAATTCTTTTTTTGTGGTTGAAATAACAGATGAACTGGTTGCAAAAATTGGCAGAAGTCTTTCCTAGAACATTCAACCTCCAACTGCCCGTTGACTGGGCATTCCCACTGCTTCATTATTACAAATTCTGCTAAGTGTGTAAAGAAAGCTCCTTTCCTTTTGGATGACCCCCGGTTATTGAGAGTCATCCTTTTCCTCAGTCTGTGAATCCCAACCACATTCCACATTGAGACTTGCTCCTCAGAAGGGGAACTTTGGTGAGCAGTCACGCTTGTTCCATCTTTATCCCCTGGCCAAACTTCCCACGTGCAATCATATCTCCAAAAAAAAAAAAAAAAAGAAAATCGAGAAAAAGTAAGAGTGTAAGAGTAATCCTTGCCGTCATCTTCTTCTCTTCCAAAGGCTTTCTGTAGGTTGATGACACTGCAGAATTTGCAGTGTTCTCAAGCACTTGGTGGAGCAAGCATCTCTCCATTGACTCTTTAACTGAGCTGAAGCACCCCGATGAGGGGTCTTTATGTGGCCATTTGTCAGGAAGCCAGGACCCAGGGATTTTGGAAAGAACAAAAGGAATTTGGTAATTTTACAAAACTCCTCTCCAAAAAATTGGAAATAGGAAAAAAATGCCTGGAGAAAATCAATTTGAAGATAGATACCAGACATATCTGAGAAATTGCTGGAAATGAATGTACTTACAGATGTCACCTTTCTGAAGGCAGTTAGATTCTTGAGTTTTATTTCACTCATAGTTTGTGCCCATTGCCGAGGATGTATTCTTCCAGGAAAAGTAAAGGCAAATTTCTTGGCGTTTGCTTAGCTATATCTCCCACTGGAAAACCCGTTAGAGAGCCATTCCTGAGGGCAACTGGAGATGCAGATGAAATGGCCCCCCATTTAGTATTTGGTTGAGATGACCCAAATGTTTGGCAGTCATTAAACCTCCTTCAGGCAATATTCATGAAAATAAACCCAAGTTGTCAATACGCAACATCGTTAAAGTTATGTCAGTAGTCACCATTGGAGGGGAATGGAAATCAGGTTTGCATTGCAGAATGCACTTTGTTCAAAACTATGGTTTCATTTCCACTTTTTGGGGAGCGGAGAGAGGTTGCACAATCTCTTTACTGAGTTTTTAATCGAGTTGCTATTCCACTCTTTCTTTTATGGAGCCATAGAAGTGTCTGTAACGAAAGATTAAAATGGTCCTGTGCAGTGTTTTGCAATGGCTATGCCCAAATAAAATATGACAGCTCTCTCATAGGGCCTATATGTAAGCAGAGGGAGCTCACTAACAAGCCATATTATGCTTTCTGCCATGCATACTGATTGCAAATTGTGTGGGTTCTCCTGGATGCCATAAAAAAAAAAAAAAGGTGTGTGTGTGTGTGCTTAAGAGAGAGAGAGAGAGGGAGAGAATTTCTTTCTCCCAGCTGGTTATGAACCTTATGCATAGCAAGCAATGGAGAAATGAAGCTCAGATTTCCTGTAGCAGAGGACACACACACACACACACACTTACACACTGACAGGCTAATGGCTACTTTCCCAAAGAGTGGTTAGAAAGAAGTAGTAAATGGGACTGTGTTGATGCTGGGAGAAGACCCGGGCAAAGATCAAGATACCCAGCAACATATCGGATAACACATAATTGGCGGGTCACAGCCAAATGAGTGTAGTCATGCATCGCCGGGCAGGCCTTTGCCTGTGATAAAGACACTTGTAAACAATTCAGTCCCAGAACATGGCAATAATATGTTGATCCGGTGTGTAATGAGGTGTCCCTGGAATCAATAAGCAGTCGTGGAGAGCAGGGAGCAAGGGCAGTGGCTGTCTTTTTGATGACCTTTCCTCACCACCAAGGACCCCATCTCCCCTGAAGAGGACTTTTCTCATTTTGCAGCCAGCTCCGAGTGTCAGAACTTCCATTCGCAGCCAGCAAATGAACAGCCAGGCCCTGCATGCTAATGAAGTCCAGGCTATTTTGCACCTTTTCATCCGCACATTATGCTCTTGACTCTGGAGAAGGTGGGAATTAGGCCGGACCCTGGTGTCAGACTGCCTGATGGCTCGGCTCCGGAAAACTGGTAATTGAAGCTGATGACTGATGCGAGGGAGGCCTGAATTTGGAAATAAACAGTTTCAAGCACTGCATGTCATTTCTAGAGAGACTGCTGAGAGAATGGAAATGAGCTCCGTTTCTTGAATCTAATGCAGTTTCTCAGCAGGAAAAACACCGTCTTTTAGACAACAATGCCAGTCATTAAGATTTAAATGTTCTGGCGATAATAGAAGAACTGGCCTCCCTGTTCACAAACAGCACTTATGTAAATGTCTTTCAACACCCAGATCTACATTTAATCCACGCCCAGGAAGATAACTGTGTCGGCAAGCGGAACCAAATGCAATTCCTAGTCTATAAATATCATTCATAAGGAGAGAGAGGAAAACAGTAAAATTGTTTGCCAACATGTCACACAGGATTGCCTGTCAATGCCAGCAACAACGACAACTCCCTGTTGAAACAATGAAAGGACATTCGGAAGTCTACAATAAAATACCCCGAAGCCACACTTTTACTGGTTATTTTTGCACTGCTGTATTTCATTCCAAATAATATACCATCCTGGCCTTTTATGTGGAAATGGCACGAATATTCCCTACCTTCCATGCAGAATCTACATTTGGATGGTGAATCTGTGTGTTTAGTGTTGCAACAGAAGCCCAAATCTGAACCCATTCGCTTATAATCTTTTAAAAGAAGTCCTTCCATCGTGTATTTATTTCATCTTCTCTTAACGTTAGTTACTAGGTTGCCAGAAAACCCCAGACCAAACGTGACAAATGGTTTTTAGTCTTTTCTCCCCAGTCTGCTGTGATTAATTGGACTTTGTGTTACTGTATGCAAAAAGAAGGGCTTGTCACCCACACACAGCCTTTTGTGTTTTAAGAGGCTTTAAAATCGTTTTTACTAGACATCCCTCCAGCCCAGTTCTTCCTGTGCAGGTGAAACACCTTCAGGGAGAAAATTACAAGCCCGGAGAAGAGGAGAACAAGGCCAGTGGTATTTATCATGGCAGGCCGGAGTGATTCATGAATAACCATCGGTTTGCTCTTTTCTCGCTTCTCTGCCCTACTAGAAGTGAGATTTCGATATTTTGGGCCTTTTTCAATTTAATGGTGACATACAGGATTCTCACAGGGAGTCTTTGGTTTGTTAGCGACATCAAGGATATCAGTACAACTTGAAAGAAACTGAAGGCAGCTGGGGTGTTATTGTCACTTCAGTTTAAAGGTAGCAAACCTATCTCGCAGAGGATCAACACTGAATTATTTCAACATTTCAAAAATATAGATAAGCAATGCATTTCTAATAGTGTGGATACTTGTGGATACTGGATAGGGCAATGAATATTCAGCAATCTTTTGCATGAAATATATGAAACTCAATGAGAAATAGGTTAAGTCTTAAACACACACACACACACACACACACAGGCACACCTACCCCTCATTGTGACAATGTTGCTCCATTCTGACATTATTCTTGTCTCGTGGGGTCTCCCATGACATAATGGCTAAAAAAGGGAGAAAATTGGGGTCACTAAAATGCAATAATGATAACCGCAGGCTCTGTGTGCATGAAGTCCATGCACACCGGGAATTCAATATTTGTATAGTGTGTCCAGAGCAGTGCTGCTTTCTTTGAAAAGCTTTTATGTGTATTTTCTCACTGGCCTCTCATGGCAATCCTATGGCACAAAAGTCTGTTTTATTAACATGTAAGAAAAGGGAGGCGAGAGAAATCATGTGATTTTTCTAAGGTCACACAGCAAATACAGTGGTAAAGCCAGAGTCGGAACTTTCTGTTGTAAACGTTTGCCATGGTGCTCTCTTCTATAAATCCCTGTTCCCCTGTGTAGATACTTTTGATAAAGAAATGTAGTCAGTACTAGGCTATTTCTACTTTCATCCTTCACAAGCACTATCTCTTCTGTTGCTGTTATGAGGTTGAAATTGTTCTGACTTGGAAGCAGGATGTGCAACTCCAACTGTCCTGGGGAAGAATAGCCAAGAACAAGGGTTTTTCCAGTCTTCAATGGTCCCTGGCGGTGACTACTATGGTAATAGCATCCTTTTTGTGTGGAGAGCGTTGCCTGGATAAGAAGCAGTGATTCAGTGTAGTTTAAGGGTTAAGAACCTGGGCTTGGCTTTGGTTCAAATCTTGCATCTGTCACTGTATCAGCAATAGCAGAAAAGGAGAGTGGGCCATTTCTTGCTCATGTACTGGGAGTTCCAGAAGCAGGCAGTCTAGCCTGGAATAGAACAGGCCCCATGATGCTATCAATGTCCCAGGTTCTTTTGTTTTTCTATTCCACCTTTTTTAGAACACTGATTCCACCTCCAGATCGCCTCATGGGCATGTCATGGCTGTGCAGTTTCAGCAGTCTCATCTGAAGGGGGGAAGAAGAGAGGAGGGCCCCGCAAAGAGCCAGGTGAGTCGCTGTCCATTCAAGGAGCTTGCGGGAAGCAGCTCCACCCCTCAACGTGTGTCTACAGCTCATTGGGAAAGACTTTCACATGGCTGTTTCTACCTACAAAGAAGGCTGGGAGGAGAAAACTTGAAGCTGACGTGTCACTGCTCCCTCCGTCGTCTGACTTCTCGTACTAAGGAAGAAAAGAACAGACATTGTGTAATTAATTGAAGGAAGAGTTTGCTGCCACAAAGACTGACTAGATGTGTGAATCCCAGCTAGTTATCTAACTTCTTTAAGTCTCAGTTTACTCATCTGTCACATGGGAAAAGATAGTAGCCCCTTCCTCCCTGCGATACCAGGGTTGTGAGAATAAAATGAGGTGTTTCACGCGATGTGCCCATTTCAGTCTCCGGCACAGAAACGTTAAGATACTGTGATCTAAAATGAGGTATGAAAATATGCTCAGCCTTAACTAAAGATCAGGGAAGTGCAAATTAAAACCCCAAAAGGATGTCATTCTTCTCTCCTTTCCAATTGACAAAAATTAAAATAAATAATAATGTGTGAGGGACAAGTTCTCAGGGACGTAAGCACTCTCCTAAGCCACTAGTGAGATAACTGGGATGGTGTTTTTGGAGGGCAATTTGGCAGCAACCTTTCTCCTTGGAATCCATCCTAGGGAAATATTTGCGTAAATGTATAAAATGACCTGTCTGACAAGAGTCACTGAAACACTGCTTGTAATAGGAAAAAGCCCCAAACAACAAAAACTGCACATATCCAAATGAGGAATGTTTAATTAAACTGTAGTACATCCATGCCACGGCTTATTATGCAGAAGATTAGAAGAATGAGGAAGATCTGTGTGTACGTAGAGATAAGGAAAGAAAGAAGGGAAGAAATATTAAGAACTTGTTAAGTGAAAACAACAAGCTGCAGAATGACATGTAGGATACGATGTCATATATTTAACTCATACTTCACACGGTACTCTAAATCATTCTTTCTCTCTCTGTCTCTGTCTGTCTCTGTGTATACGCACACACATAGAGAATTCCAGATTTTAAAAAAAAATCACCTTTTGGTTAAGTATATATATATACTTCCAGCATCTGCCCCAAATTTTAGTCATGATGTTGAGCAGGGCTTGTCCCACCAATCCACCAGGTTCTGACAACAAAGGGAATTTGTTCAGAGACAGATCCTAGCTCAAGTCCGTGCAATCCTTATTCTCAGGATTTTTGCCAGTATTCATCTTTTGGTTGAAAAAAATGTATATATATAGATTGATGTAGATACTTGTAATTGTATAGCTAATGCTCTAGAAAGAAATACACCCAATAAATAATGATCACTTCTGGACTCAGAGCAGGGGAATGGTCAAAGAAACTTTATTTTTCGCCTCATCTGTAATGATTTATCTGAATGATTTTTTTTTTAAGATTGGCACCTGAGCTAACATCTGTTGCCAATCTTCTGTTTTTTTTCTTCTTCTCTCCAAACCCTCCCAGTACATAGTTGTATATTCTAGTTGTAGGCCCTTCTGGCTCTGTTACGTGGGGTGCCACCTCAGCATGGCTTGATGATTGGTGCTGGTTCTGCACTCAGGATCTGAACTGGTGAAACCCTGGGCTGCTGAAGCGGAGCATGCAAACTTCAGCACTCAGCCATGGGGATGGCCCCCTAAATGATATTTTAAATGTACGCTTTTATTGCAATATTGTTAGGAGGCAATTCTCCGCGAGTCTCATTTTATATTGCATGTTTTGTGAGCAAAGGCACTGACAGCTTTTCTTCCAGACTATCTGTTCAAGGATGTTTGTACAGCAATCAGCTTTACAAGACAGTGAAAGAGTCTCCCTCTGAGGCAAGGGCAGGTCTGTTTGCTGTCCAGTATAATAAAGATAATGTCCCCCTACAGCGCCAAGTTTGAGCAGTATTTGCTTGCAGCCCCTTTAAAAGACTGAGATTTCCTAAGCTCAGGGTTCTTCAGGTCTGATGCAGACCCCGTGTGTGTGCAGCATCCACCTGGGCCCACCTTCATGTCACCCCCGTGGTACTTGAGAGTCAAAGGGAACTGACGCCAACGTGAAGCTCATGTTTGCTGTGAATAATAAAGTCCTTTGTCTCTGATGCAGGAGTCTCCTGGATTCTGCCAGCACCCATGAGATTGTGGCAGGCTAAACTCTCAGCCCATTCACAGTACTCATAAATATAACGTAGGTACTGAAAAGAAAACCTATAAGTGTATAGTTTGAAGAATTTTCACGCAGTTGACCCACTCATGTAACCAGCACGACATCCAGAAAAAGAACATTACCAGTGTCACAGAAATCTCAGTGATGTCTCCCTTAGTCGATAGCCCCCCAAGGGTAACACACTCCTATCTAACAGCATGGATTACTTTTGTCTTCTTTTGTTGTTGTTGAGGAAGATTCACCCTGAGCTAACACCTGTTGCCAATCTTCCTCTTTTTTGCCTGAGGAAGATTTACCCTGAGCTAACATGTGTGCCAATCTTCCTATATTTTGTATGGAGGTCACTACCATAGCATGGCTAATGAGTGGTGTAGGTCCATGCCCGAACCTGCAAATCTGGGCCACCAAAGCAGAGTGTGCCAAACTTAACCACTATGCCTTTGGGCCGGCTCCCTAGTTTGGCCTATTTTTGAACTTTACATCAATTGAACCATACAATCTGTACTCTTTTGTGTCTGGATTCTTTCTTGCAACATTATGTTTATAAGATTCATCCGTATCATTACGGATAGTTGTAGGTCATCATAATCATTGCTGTGTCAATAAGCCACAATCTATATATCCTACTGTTGATGGACGTTGCACTATTTCAGGTATTTTACTATGAAATTCTTTCTTTTCTCCCCCCAGTTTTATTGAGATGTAATTGCATACATCACTGTATAAGTTTAAGGTATATAGCATAATGGTTTGACTTACATATATTGTGAAGTGATTATGCAGTAAGTTTAGTTAGCATCCATCATCTCATTTAGATACAATAAAGAGAAAAAGAAAAAAAGAAAGAAATGTTTTTTACTTGTGATGAGAACTCTTAGGATTTATTTTCTCAACAAATTTCATTTATATCACACAGTAGTGTTAACTATAGTCATAATATTGTACATTACATAGCTAGTACTTATTCATCTTATAACTGGAAGTTTGTATCTTTTGACCACCTTCTTTCAATTCCCCCGATTGTTTCTTTTTTAAAGGAGAGCATATTTATATATTACTTGTATGATTTAAAAACATTTTTTATTGCAGTAACATTGGTTTATAACATTATATAAATTTCAAGTGTACTTCATTATATTTTGATTTCTGTGTAGGTTACATATGTTCATCACCCAAAGACTAATTACAACCCATCACCACACACAGGTGCCTAATCACCCCTCTCGCACCCCTCTCTCCCCGTTTCTCCTCCGGTAACCACCAATCCAATCTCTGTTTCTATGTGTTTGCTTGTCGTTTTTATCTTCTATTTATGAGTGAGATCATGTGGTATTTGACTTTCTCCCTCTGACTTATTTCACTTAGCATAATACCCTGAAGGTCCATCCATAGTGTCACAAATGGCCGGATTTCATTGTTGCTTATAGCTGAGTAGTGTTCCATTGTGTATATATACCACATCTCCTTTATCCATTTGTCCCTTGATGGGCACCTAGGTTGCTTCCAAGTCTTGGCTATTGTGAATAAGGCTGCAATGAACATAGGGGTGCATGTATCTTTACGCATTCGTGTTTTCATGTTCTTTGGCTAAATACCCAGCAGTGAAATATCTGGATCATATGGTAGTTCTATTATTAAATTTTTGAGGTGTCTCCATACTGTTTTCCATAGCAGCTGCACTAGTTTGCGCTCCCACCAGCAGTGTATGAGAGTTCCCTTCTCTCCACATCCTCTCCAACACTTATGATTTTGTTCTAGAAATTTTCAAACATACACAGAAGTAAAAAGAATGATATAATGATCCCCTATACACCCATGGCCCAACTTTAACAAGTATCAACTTCTGACATTTTGTTATAATTACTTATAAAATTGTATTTTATATATAGTTACATTGTAATTACAATCTATTAATTGTGATTACAATTATAATTAAGTTACAATTTAATAATATTTAAAAAGAAATAGGCCAACTTTTTGCCCCCCTGAATTGCTTTCAAGATGAAGGCATCTCTATGATGAAAGAATAATATCAACTTGCTCTCATGGTGAACTTATTTGGTCTCATGCCTTTAAGTACCATCTATATCTGGTTGACATCCAAGTTTATTTCTCTAGTCAAAACCCCTCTGTTTAACTCCAGATTCATATATCCATCTACCTCCTTGACATCCCTACTTGGATGTCATTTTAGGTCTGGTTCCTCAGAAGCAGACCTTAGATGAGGGTTTGTGTACAAGTGATCCATAAGGAGATACTCTTAGGAGACACTAGTAAGGTGTTGGGGGAAGCAGGACAGACAGAGAAGGTGAGGAAATCAGGCAAGGTGCAATATCAGGCAGAGTTCCAGAGAGGGTGGCTTCACCCTGACCCCACAAATGTGCTCTGGAGTGTGAGTTATGCCTCGCAATTCGTCCCAGTGCAAGAATTGGGAGCTGGGCTATTCTATTTCTGCACTCATCAGTCATTGTCCAAGGGTGGCTCTCTGCAGGGCACAAACACCCAGGCACTTCTGGCTTGGCAGCAGAGCATCAGCAGAGTCTGCTACTGAGTCCAGTAGATATCTCAAATGTAATGTGTCCAAAACTTCTGACACTCCTCCCCCAACTCCCATCTCCAAAGTACGTCCTTCCAGTACTTACACAAAATCCTTTGGAGTCACCCATGTCTCCCCTCTTTCTGTCACATCTCTGTCAACACATTAGGGAATAGGTTGGCTCTACCTTTAAAATGTATCTAGAATATTCTCATCCCCTCCACTGCCACCTCGCTGAGCCACCATCCTATCTCACTTGAATTACTGTCAGAGTTTCCCAGTTT